GAACGGTAAAAGGGTTTGTAATACATACCAGCTGACAAATGGATTTCGTGTACAAGTAAAGGTAAGACCATAAACTTTTCTTATTTCTAGTTAGAAATAAGCTCAATTGGAATAAATTTTAACCTCAAATTAAATATGGGTCACGATTGTGTGAAGAATGCTGATATGAGATATAAAACATAACGCATTGTCTGTTAACAGACAATTTGTTAACGGTTCATTTGTATTTGTAAATCTGACTGTAAAAGAGTCAGTGCCTCACCAGCTGTCAACCTCACCACACGTCACTGATAGTAGGCACAGTGTTTCCCTGAACTCACCAGAGTACACAGTGTACTAGTTGTACTAGTTGACAGTGTTGCCTGTTCACTTACAATTCAGACATTAAACACTGGTGTGATATGGGATATTTAAAAGAAATATTGCAGCTTTATCTTATGACAGCAGGATTTTTATTCACTTCTGTTTGTATTATTGTCATCAATCCACTGCCACCCACTATTGTATCACCTCCTTGGTTACTGCTCAGGGGGCCAAATAGAAATAGATCATTTCTGTTAAAAACGTCTTTGTAAGATGGAGAGCGAGCACTGGAACACCAGTGTCAACCTGCTCCGTTAACACATCCAGCGTTATAAGTGAATCAGTGTGAGGGCTTTGCTTCTCTTTGAGCAGCCGGGCTGTTATGTAAGCGTCACCATTCAGGGTTTTGGAAATGAAACATGAATCTGGAGCTGACGTCCTGTGAGCCACAAAGTAAATAATACTGAATGTAATATTTGGATAAGGATGCAAAGGGCTTGTTTTTAATTTGTACAGTATGTTCTCTGAGTTTTGGTCTTGGTCCACTTTACGTAGTTATGTAGAGTGTAAGGCCAATGGGGCAGGTCGGTGTGGGGCAGGCCGGTGTGGGGCAGCAGCTGAAAAATAGCTTGACCTCAAAGTTGCCTTCGATTTCTGAGACTTGACACAGATCAGGAAGTGCTAATATTTCATTTTATATTATATTTTAGTATAAGAATCAGTTTATTTGCCAAGTACGCAACCATAAAAAGAATGTCCTGGCGCATGGTGTCATAGCTGATGACAAACTCTCCTGGAAATCTCATATCAGATATGTTCATCGCAAAATAGCAAAGAATATATCGATATTGGCAAGGGTTAGATATATTTTGGACGGGAAAGCACTACGCATTTTGTATTCTTCATTGATTTTACCATACTTAGAGTATGGCGTTGAAAACTGGGGAAATACATACAAAAGCTCACTTCAACCATTGTATATATTACAAAAAAGAGCGATAAGAATTGTGCATAAGATGGGGTATAGGGATCACACCAATGGAGCTTTCATACAGTCTAAATTGTTAAAATTTTTCGATTTAGTGGGATATAAGACTGCTGTGTTTATGTATAAAGCCAGGAACAATTTATTACCTGGTGGAATTCAAAAACTATTTAATGAAAGGGA